GGCAATTTTTTGTAAGCGATTATTTCAGTATTTACAGAACCAAGAAAATGTTACTTAAACTTCGTAAACTCGAAAAAATTGGTGTTCTAATTGATTTTATATTTTATTTACTTAGGGCACAATAAATGAACGAACCAATCACATAGGAACTTTGTTGCCCTTTACTTTCATATAATCAAATTTACAGTAAGATTAATATTTTATGGAAGCTAGTGGTTTATGTAAAAAAGTTGTGGAAGGTTAGAGTAGAGTGAAACAATAGAGACTTTTTTAGCCCAATTTGATATGGAATATAATCTCCTGGAATAATGGCGTCTGTTCAAGGGACACCCTGTATAGTACTTCCAGAAAGAAATTAAGACATGCTAAAAAATTTTATAGTAAGTTGTAACTTGAATAGCACATCATTCGCTCTCGAACAAACACACAAAAAATTCCAGTAAATAAGTGCTGTAATGTAAATGTATTAACATGACCTACGATGCTGAAGAGCAACCGGTCAGAAATTCGAAAGCGGTACCAACATGATAAATTTATGTATATTTTATGTATTTAGAGTGTACTAATTACAACCATACAATGATGAAATACGGTACGATAAGAAAAATTGCGGAAATTATTTTATGAAGACAGTACTAGTTTCATTGATAGGTTACTAGAATAATAGAAGAACGGACCTAAAACGCTGCCCAGAGATAGTCCACCTCTAATATCTTTTTCTTCTTTATCGGTCATAAAATCCTCAATTATTTTTTAATCGTGTTACCAAGGAATCTACATACATTCAGTATAATGGCCAATTAAGGGAAATATAATTATAATCTTAAAATGAAAACTATAAAATTGTATGTGTTTAAAACCCCTTAAACTAATTTTAAATTTCATCATGAGGAGAAGATATTTGGGCTTTCATGAAAATAATAATAATAATTTAACCATAACGGAACCGTTAGTCATTTGTTAACTACATATATTTATTGCTTGACTTTCAAAAGCAATGGACCGTTGCCTTTGCAACGTGCAACATAAATTTCAAAGCTGCATTTTCCCTTTGAAGCGTTATTTCTCAATTTTCTAAACAGTTTTGAGAAAGTGGCGGAAAACCACAAGCCAAATAGGAGGAAAAAACGGATTTTTAAAAATTTGCAATACAGGTTTTTTTAAAACGTTTCTACTGAAGTATTTTTATTGCCATCTGCAAGGCCGTCTGTCCGAAATGGCGCTTCCATTTTAAGAAAGACCGGGGCGATAAATACGCGAAATACGGGTGTTAGAACGTCTGTCTCTTTTATATTCAATACACCATCGTAATTTTCAATGGGTCTTGTTCATTGTGTCCTTCTTAAAGCTCAACTCGTGTGGCAGTAATTCCACTAATGGCCCTCGGTTTTGACAACGGGAAGGTTTTTTTAAGGTAGCACGAGCTGAGAAGTGTGTCAGAATTCTTGTTTTCAACAATATTTCCAGTTTAGAATCTTAAATGCTACAAGTTAATAAATATATTGTGATTCTTTTAATATAAAAAACATATAGATAGAAATAAAATTTTAAAAATCTCACGAGGATAAGCAAAAGCTCTCAAATCAAACGACATTCTTTTTAATACTAACTAATACGAAGTGAAAAGAAATCGACAGGATAAGATAAAGCGAAGACAACCGGACGATGAACATTCCATCAACACAAGAATCATATCTAATATATTTTGTCTGTGCTTTCGAACAATAAAAAAACAAAACATTTTTTCAATCAAACAACTCACGATTTTTTAAGTGCTATAGCATTCAAAATATCAAGGCTGATTGTTATTGAAAATGATAATTGATAAATAATAGAGGGCCAAGGACCATTCCTTAGAATAAACAGAAAAATTCCTATTGTTGACCAAGAAAAACTGGTTTTTTAAACAAAAACAACAAAAAGCCCTATATAATTTACAACCTGGTTGACAATTAAACCGTGACCTCTTTTAAATTATTGTATTGTTTTTAGGTTAAGGAGAAATTAAGAAAAATCTTATTAAAAAACACAGTTTATCTCATCATACATAAAACATTTTCACAAAATCTATAATATAAATTGCATTTGCTGTGAGATTGTGAAGTTTCCCATCTTAATAATGAATAAAATTCATAGTAAAATTTAAAGAATAGGGTAAATCACTTGAAATCATATTTTTATCCTTAATTGGACCGTTTCATGTTAAGTAACTCGACTAGAAATTCGTCTTTGGGTTTTTTTTATAGCTGTAGCAGGTCATGATTTAATTTCGATTTAACAACCATTAGACTTGTAATAAAACAGTCCAAATAAGGGTCAGGACTTTAAAGAAGGAAAAAATTAATTGGATATGTCAACCGAAATCGATACACGACTGATAAAAGACTCGAAGTTTCCAGTCCAGCCTATCATCTATTTGCAATCATTGCGGTGACCTATTGCAACAACAGCCCTTCTTAACCTGATTGTTAGTTGAGTTTCGTTCTCGTTACAAACCGGGTCTTGTGCCCTTCGAAAAAAATTACTTTTAGACTGTACATTTTGTCAATTTGATTATCTCGACTTGCACCTTCGATGGATAGCGATCAAAAATGGACAAGAAAAACCTGTAACTCACGAGTCGTTCACTTTGAAAAGTCAATTGGCCTTGTCTCAGTGCATTCTTCCATGCGACTTTATTAGTTTACGTTGAATTTCAATCGTGATTAACTAACCCTCCACCTGTGGTAACAGTTTAATTGAATTTCGGACGTGAACACTCGACGGTTGACAGGCGGATTGGCAAGGGAAGAGGAATTCAAATTACTCCATCATTTCTCATTTCTGCCATGTCTCTTCTAAATTGAAGTTTTTTTCTTACCTGGGTGTTCCGTGTCAATTAACCCTTCACACGTGCACGTTTTGTCTCAATTTTCCAAAATCTCTTTAATGGGGCGAACGGATGTTCCTGGGATCTTTACTATACAAATTCCATTATAATTTTATGATTTTGTTTAATAATTCAAACCCCAAATTTTACTGAACTACATGAATTCTACATGACAATTTTTTTTCAAGAAAAACTCGTAGTTTGAATTAATAACTTTTTGTGATGTATCAACTTCCTCAGGATTTCCTGTTCTTTTACATACATATTCGAATAGGTAAAAATAATACGAAGTAAAATTCAACAACTATTTTATGTTCTATAGGGAAAACTTTCTTCGAAATATCAGCCCAAAAAAATATAAACGCCATTAACCACAATGGGGACAGAACCATTATCTGTCGATGCCAAAATAGGTAGAAATTTTTTTATTTTTATTGAATATTTATTTATTTTTTACAATAATAATATTTTTTAATTTAACATTGTTACAGTAACACTGGGGATCCAGCAACCATTGCTCCTTTCCTTCTCTTTTCGTCTGATAAAACGGTAAATGTGGGTTCTGTTTGATCAATTTAAAGAGCTAGTAACTGAGGACAGATTTATATTAAATTTATATTTTAGTACTCAAACAGCATTGTTTTGCGATTTTAGCATTGCCTGCCAGAAACAGTTCATTATGAGAAAGCAAAATATTCGTTCGGTTTGTATTACATCTGGGTGTTCCTTAGGGTTCAGCCCCGAGCACACTTTTGTTTTCTATCTACGCCTACGATTTATAACTAACTATAATGCTGGTGGCCTCCAAATCAACATGCTACGCTCAAAGTCTGACATCGAAAAATGCGTTAGATTAAAGATTAAGAGAATATTAAGAAGATTGAAAAGATTTATCATAACGATCATCCAAATTCAAAATATTATATTTCCTAAATTTTCTCCCTTACCGCATGGAAAAATTATAAAAACTGCGTACAAAACCTGTTTTCAAAAATGAATAACTACTTTTTCTTATTCTGTTGATTCTCCGAGAAATTATTTTCTTATCTTTTATTTTTTACATCTATTATTGGGTTGTCCGGAAAATAATGCAGGATTTTAAGTTTTCATTAAAAAAAATCTATATAAAATATTCTGTTTACGTTTACAGGATTACTCATTTGTATGNATTTTGATTAAAGAACATTGCTTTAAAGTAACTAGTTTCTTTTTTTTTGTTTAATACCAAAATCCTGCATTATTTTCCGGACAACCCAATACTTTGTTCGCAAACATAGGATATTGTTAAACTTGCTTTTCTTTTCAATTAAACAGTTCTTTTTAAAAATTTATATTGCAGTACGTAAGAATGAATGTATTTATTTATATATATGTATTTATACATGATAGCTTGTAAATGTTATTTATTATTGGTAATAAATTGAAATTGAACACTACATTTTTATTTGTGTGGTGATTAGTGACCGTTAATCGATAATTATTCCGAAATCGTGAGATGCGGTCTGGTGTGATGTAGGTTTCAGAAAAACATGTTCTTTATCGTGCCAACGCTTCGAACTTTATTGAGATCATCTTCAGGGTTCAATAAAGTTCGAAACGTTGGCACGATAAAGAACATGTTTTTCTGAAACCTACATCACACCAGACCGCATCTCACGATTTCCGAATCATTTTTATTTGTCTTTATTTTTATTAATTTTTATTTAATTATTAGTACTTAAATCTAATTTTCTGGAAAATCTCGTATTTATAATGAAAAACCTTTTTGTAACAAAAATTGTTAAAATTACGCACTTACTCTTATGGGACGATTTCTCGTCGAGGATAACAAAGTGAGTTTCCTTTCTTTTTTTTATAACGTGGAAAATCGTTTGGGGATTAGATGCCCAAAACGAAGTAATGAATGTTATCAATGGTTCTGAGGACTTTGAATTTTGAAGTATTCTTTGGATGATGGAAAATTCAGTAGTTTAATTTCATTTAATTCTTATAAATCAGTCGCTAGTGTTCTGTAAAGTACTAGTTTTCTCGATACGTTGGATTTTCTTGATAATAATTTGATAGTAGTCCAAGCTTTTCACTTTTTGTTAGTGTGTATCGGTTTATTTTGTGAATATTTGTTTTCATTTACCTTAATATACCGGAGTTTATTCCATTGACTATGTGCAACTCGTGTGGCTGGAGCTTTCCTGAAATAATTGAAAAATTAGGATTAAAAATTAATATATTACAATAAATTAAGGTTTTTAGTTGAGATAAAAACGTCAATGGCACGAGAAGGATTCGAACCGATACCGACTTCTATTGTACAGATTATTTATTAATATTATTTATTATAACAATAAATAATATTAATAATAAATTGAAAAAAAATATTCCCTAGTATGGTTAAATTAAGCTTCTGAGATTTTAGAAAGTCGGAGGCATTTATGCTTTAACAGAGGTCATCGGTCATCGAATTCAACTTTACAAAAAATGGAATGCTATCGAATCTACATGAGCATTGTGAAAGCGCGTCGTGAGGCTGAGGCGTCGTGCATCTACAAGTTTCAAAGATAAAAGAACAATTCGCCCTTCCGTCAATTTACGATTCTCTCCTTGAACCAGCGGATAGTTTTCCCCATTAGCGGTCAGAAAAGTGAAAAGGCAGGTGCACTCAGGGTATAGAGAAAGAGAGAAAAAAGAAAAATATGCGAGAAATCAATCCGGTCTTTTTTTTTATCGTTCCCAGTTATGTTAACGAGGATGAGAAAGCATTGTATTCAAAACAACGATAGTGGAATGCACGTCCTTGATACTTATACAACCGGAACATGTCACACACACGCTTATCTGAGTCAGCCTTGCCGAAAACGACCGCATCGACGGACTCAAACTGTATTTAATATGAATGTTAATTTAACTACTTTGATGTATAATTATAAACCAAACCCTCACTCTGAAAACATGTAAAAATTACAAATCGCGTGAATAAATACTCTGTCAAAAAAAAACCGTTATAAAACATTCTAAATAGACATTTATTCTTTTATTTTTAGGAAACACAAAATTTATCATGTTGCGGATGTCTCTTTGAGGTCTGCGGGGTCATGAACATGTAATTTGGGCGTCACTGATCATTTTGACTTTCCAATGATTGCTGTGTCGGCCTGTCAGACGCGTTTCAGCATTTCGCCATCTTCAGGATAAAAGGTAGAAGATCATGGCAAGAATTTGCAGACAAAGAGTACCCGTAAAGATCAAATGACAAATTAAGAGGTATAGAGTAATTGTTAGAAAGTAAAGTAAGTAGCTGAGAATAGATTTCATGGCAGACTAGGAAAAGCGATTTTTATTGTTTAGTTTTATACAGAAAATAACTGGGAAAAGTGCGCAACTAGGCTAATAAATTTTATTTTTGTCGTTTCTAATTATTTTTAGCCCTCCTTTACTCTTTGTTTGTCTCAGTATAAAATACACCCTGAATCATCTATACCTATATAATCTTTTGATATGGCAGATATCCTAGTTTCTCCTCGACATCAATGTTGTTTTGTACCATAATTTGTATAAATATTAAAACACACACATCCTTATTAACAATCCAAACCCAATTTTATTACATTCTTCTCACACTCTTGTGAATAATTTATTCAAAACTGTAAAATCGCAATAGATTTCTGGAAGGATCTGCCTCCACTTACCAACTGTATGAAGAACGTTGGAACTTTTTTATGGCACATATAAGCATATGCTTATACCCCCATCCACCTTAATAAATTTACTCAGTCATTGTTACAGTTTATTTCCATATCCAAGTTTTATAAATGGCACAAATTTCAGGGTATGAACGTACGAAGTTCTCATATTCAAGTTAGGACAGTGAAATGTCAAAAACAGCTAAGGGAATCTTAGAATAGTCAGTCAGTATCGCAGTGAGAAAATAGTTACAGAATTTCTCCATCAAATTAACCCTTTTTGGAATAACTCAAGCCGTTTTCACATTTCACTAACTTTTTGAATTTTAAGCGGAATTTTTGATTTACAGATTAAGACTTGTTTTAACTCAAATAGTCGAGCTTTTTTACTTCAAGTTAACCTTTCTTTAAAATATTTAAAAAACATAGGAGACGTATGAAATGCAGCATGTAAAATGAAATACCTGCATTTGAAAAACAATTTAAATATAAAATAATTGGGCGTTTAGAAGACCACATATAATTTAACTAGCATTATAAATAATATATTTAAACAGCAAAATATTAAGACAAAAAACTTTTATTTTACCATTTAATGGTGGTTACAAAGCAGTTAATCAAACTGAAACATATAGTTATATAATTATATAACACTGAAAGCACATTTCAGTTTGGTTGAAAAATATTTTAACCGTTTAAATTTATTAGGTTATTTTTAATGTAAATGTAAATAATTTTACATTCGGTTTTTAAGAGCCCAATTATTTTTATATTTCATCTCTGAAGTGTTTTTTTTATAGAATGTAAAAAAATAGTTAATTTCAAATTAAATTGGGTTAATTTTAAATAAAAGGGGTTATGTGGATTTGAGAAAAAAGATAATTAAATGGTTAAATTGATTAATTTGAAATTAAAAAGTGTTAGTCTGGCGTGAACAATGTTAATTCTACATTAAAAATGATTAATTTTACGTTATTTTATATAAATAACCGTACATGTTATTTTAACATTAACAACTTTATTTTACATGCTTATATTTCATACCATGTCCAAAGTTTTTAATAATGTTTTAAAGAAAGATTCAATTTTAGATTAAAACGAAATAATTTGAAGTTAAAAAAAATCTAAAATTAAAAAGAGTTAAAATTGGAAATTAAGATGGGTTAATTTCGTAAAAAAGTATTAATTTTAAAGTAAAAATGGTTACTTTGACTTTAATTTACATACTTTTCAATTTTAATTGTAATTATTATTTTACATGTTTTTATTTCATATTAACCCCTACGTTTTAAAGAAAGATTCAATTTTAGATTAAAACGAAATAATTTGAAGTTAAGAAAAATATACAATTAAAAAGAGTTAAAAATTGGAAATTAAGATGAGTTAATTTCATAAGAAAAAGAATTAATTTTAAATTAAAAATGGTTACTTTGACTTTAATTTATTTACTTTTCAATTTTAATTGTAATTATTATTTTACGTTTTTATTTCATACTAACTCATACGTTTTTATTAATATTTAAAGAAAGATTCAATTTTAGATTAAAACGAAATAATTTGAAGTTAAGAAAAATATACAATTAAAAAGAGGTAAAAATTGGAAATTAAGATGAGTAATTTTGTACGAAAAAGGATTAATTGTAAATTAAAAATGGTTACTTCGACTTTAATTTATATACTTTTCAATTTTAATTGTAATTTTTATTTTACGTTTTTATTTCATATCAACTCCTACGCTTTAGTAATGTTTTAAAGACTGGGTTAATTTAAAATTAAAAAGCGTCAATTTGAAGTTAAAAAGGATTTCAAAAAGTAAAAAGGTTTAATTTGAATTAAAAATAAATTAAAAATAATTAATTTTAAGTTAAAATGAGTTAATCTGAAATTAAAAATTAGTTATTTTGGTGGGAAAAATGTAACTTTCAAACTTAATAATTGAAACGATTCTCTTCAAATACTTGTGAAATACAGCTCTTCGACCTAGGTTCAATTATTTAAATTGTGCAGTTTTGCCTTAGAGTTCGCTTATGTGGCTTTAGTAACAGCATACGTGCTAACATGTGCACACGCACTCCACATCATACTAGCTAATAAAAGGAAATTACGTCTAATGATGGAAAAATGCCCGAACTATCCCGATCAAAGGATTAGCGAGAAAATGAGTACCTGAGGATGTCCAGAAGAGGTTCAACACTTTAACAATAATAAAATCGTCGAAAACATCGACTCAGTCGGTTTGATATTCAATTCAGCTTTATCAATAATTCAAAGCGTTCAAAGAAGTTACACAGGAGGAAAGAGTGTGAGACATTATTGACTTTTAGCTTTCCTCCACAGGGTTTCATAAAATAAAAATAAAAAAGGAAGAAAAATGATTTATCTCTTTAATGTGAAAAAGGTCACGTTGTGAAAATCACACTGACATTTAAGTATTAATATTAAGAGACAATGGCCTGGTCATTAATTCAGCTAGGAACAATTTAACAGGGCTGAGCGGCATTCTCCATCCGGCGGGCTAGATTCGCACCGCGTACGGAATAATTGACGGAGAAATATTATCATACTGCATTAAATATTGGCTCATCCTGAGAAAGCCATTGTTCATCCTCTAAGAATATGGAACGTGAACATGGAACACTTCAACGGTTGAATTCTCAATCGTTCAAATTTAAAATTACTTATAGGCCTTTCAAAAATTAGTCAGAGTCGATGGTTTAATTACTATTGATTAATTAGGACAACAAAGAATAACTTTTACTACTGAATTTCCAACGCGAGGGAGAGGTAGAGAGAGAAAGAGAGTGACTGAGAGAGAGAAAGGGAGAGAGAGAAAGAGAGAGTGAGAGTGAGGGAGAGTGGGAGATAGAGAAAGAGAGAGGGAGGGGAGAGAGATGGTTTTGTTTAATCTCGCAAAGTTAGGTCTCTTGGAACTTTCTTAAAAAGGAAAAGAGAGACAGAGATATATAGATAAACAGATACATAGATAGATAGATAAGATGTATAGATAGATATATAGGTAGGTAGATAGATAAATAGTGAGAGAGAGGTGGGGGACATTGATGGTTTTGTTTAATCACGCAAAGTAAGGGCTCTTGGAACTTTCAAAAGAAGGAAGAGAGAGAAAGTGAGAGTGAGAGACAGAGAGACAGACAGACAGAGAGAGAGAGAGAGAGAGAGAGAGAGAGAGAGAGAGAAGAGAGAGTGACAGACAATCTGATGAAGACAAAAAGAGAGGCGATAAGAAGGTGATTGAAAACAGAATGTGTGATGAAGTGGGAAAGTATAAGAGATTAGAGCAGATGAAAAAAGTATCGGAGAGAAGAGAAGTGAAAAGGAGAAAATAGAAGGGTACACCAAAGTAGAGAAGGCAAGAGAAAAGAAGAGGAGAGTCAGGGAGGAAGAGTGAGTGAGCTGTTGTGTGCGCGTGTGTGTGAGTTGTGAGAGAGAGATAATGAAGTAGGTAGAAGGGGAGAAGGTAAGTGAGTGAAAAAAGTAGAGGATGTGCTATAGAG